TTATATGCTCAGTTTCCTTTTTCCAGCCACTTATTGCTACTTGTCCCAACTTTTTTGGGATTTGTTGACACTGTAAAATTTTGAATCAACATATTTTTCTTTTAAAATGTTACATTTAATCTGATTAAACTTTTGATCTGTCATCTATGTTATATTAAGAATAAAATAATGACATTTGCCATCTCCACATCATTGCATTCAGTTTTTATTCGCAATTTGTTTAGTGTCCCAACTTTTTTGGAATCCGGTTTTATTCTTACAGTTTATTTACTGTTTGAACATGAATGCACATCAATATAAGCAAGGTAATTTAACACTATGTGGCAAAACGCAAAAATCCAACAAAAATCTTCCCAGAGTTCCCAGCAAAATCAGAATGAAAATTGCCCGATTGGCAGTAAACTGCCCAATCTGGTAACACTGGGAGTGACACGTGTGAGTGAAAGGTGGTGGGCGTGACTACGGTAACAAAATGTGTATTTAGCATTGGATTTGAATCAGTACGTTTTTCATCCAGTAAAAACAAAGATGTTGACAAATAAACAGGACAATGTTTTGGCAATTTAGTGATATTTCCACAGTTGTGGTCTCGACTTGTCTTGAAATAAATTCCCAAGTCCTCAATGTCCGAGACCGAGACAAGACCAAGACAAAATGGGGTCGAGCCCGAGACAAGACAGGGACCATCAAAAAGTGGTCTTGAGACCAGTCTTAAGACCAAGACCAGTCTCGAATACTACAACACTATCCTGATGCATGCTCAATAATCCAGGTAGAAAAATCTTTAAAAAAGTTAAGTCTGGTCCTCTGGACATTAAAAAAAGAAAAATGTAGAAACGTTTTGTCTCTCATCCGATCAGTCTTACATCAGAGAAACTAAACAGCCACTGGCCAAAAGGATGGACCAGCACAATGCTGTGATTGCTAGTATCACTCAGCCCTCTGTGAACAGTAAACAGCCATCAGGTGCTAATGATCCATTGTTAGGCTGATGGTCCTTCTTGAGCATGTGATCAGCTGGTTCTGGTTGTCAGCAGCAAAACTGGTTGATCCACTCTGAGAAGGTGCTATTTAAGAGACTGAGCTGAATACAGCACCTCAGACTGAGGAAGTCTCTTGGATGAAAGACGAAACGTTTTTACAAGTTTTTGCTTTGTTTTTTTGAAGGTCCAGAGGACCAGATTTAACTTTTTTTAGATGCTACAACACTATTTAAAGGTTCTGTTTCTGTGTTTTAGGCTGAAAACGGGTTCTCAGCAGAAACTCCACGAGGCTCTCTGCTGACACCTCCTGGTAAGACCTTTGTTCTAACCTGCCAACATGAGAGAACATGCCAAGAACAAAAGTGTCTTCTGTTTTTAAGACAAAACCATTTTTAACCAGATCTCAGGAGGTTCCATGACGGGTCTTCATATCTTCTCGGGTTCTTCAACCAAAATCTCAGAAAACAAAGGGATGCTTTTTTCAAACAGGAAGTCGGTCCCAGCAGTTCTTCCTCTGATTTTATCCTCAAATGGTGTCCCCATTGAGTTTGTTGATTCCTATAAATATTTGGGTATCTTGGTCGACTCACATCTTTCTTTTAAGCTCCATGTGGAAAACTTGGTAAAGAAACTGAAAGTTAAACTGGGTTTCTTTTTCAGAAACAGATCCTGTCTAACTCTGAACCCTGAGGAACACCTTGTATCTGTGACTTTCCTTCCCTCCATTGATTACGGTGACATTATTTACATGAACGCTCCTACAAGAACCCTGCAGATGTTGGATGCTGCAGATGTTGGATGCTGCAGATGTTGGATGCTGCAGATGTTGGATGCTGTCTATCATGGTGCACTAAGATTCATAACTAGCTGTAACTACCGTACCCACCACTGCACCCAGTATCCACTGGTTAACTGGTCACCATTAACTTCACGCAGACTCTCCCACTGGTACATCTTCATCTTTAAATCACTTCCTGGTCTGCTGCCTTCATACATCTCCTCCTTCATGTCTCTGTGTGAGTGCAGCTACAGCGTGCGCTCTCAGGACATCATTACCTGCAGTGTTCCCTCAGTGAGGACTGAACTAGACAAAAGGACCTTCTCCTACTCCGCTCCTGTTTCCTGGAATATCTTGTAAAAAGACCTGAAGCTCTCGACCTTTGACCTCTCTAAGTGTCTTTAAGAATCTGTTGGACTCCTGGCAGGGACCAACGCAGACATGTTCCTGTTTTTAGTTTTCTACACCACCTTACAACCTAGCTGTTTTTTCACTACTTTTCCTTTTGATTGCCATTTTATTTTAACTTATTTTAAAAAATTTAATTTGTATGCATCCTTTATGACAGTCCACTGTTGTCATCATTCTTTGTTAAAATCAGGTCTCTCTTGTAAATGAGTCCCCAAGGCTCAATGGGATTAACCTGTAGAAATAAAGGTTCAATGAAAAAAAAACCTGATCAAAACAAGTCCAACCTGTCCACAAAGTCCAACTTTAATCAACAAAACCAAAACTGTTGAAAATCCTTCTGCAGTTTTTCAGGCCACAGAAAGTTCCAGTCTTAGTTGCACTAGTGAGTTTTTGAGAACCACCTCTGATTTTCAGGAGAACACATGGTACAACTGATGTTTCACTGCCCAATCCCTGTGAAGATCTGCCCCCACATGTAGGATTTAATCTGCAGAAGTTCATGAAGATGGATGTGGACCAGTTTTTAATCATTCTTATTTATCATTTATATGATAAATATTGATATGATATTATTGAAATAGCCCAAGTCTATGGCTTCTAGACCAGGACATTCAGGGCTGTCAGAGACCTCCTGTAGGACTCAGACTCTGTTGTGATGCCTGTGGCAAAATTCAAGTGGGTTCCAGGTGGGTTCAAGACCCCCACAAAGACTATGGAACTGATTTTCCTGAGCATGTTCAAAACTCACACATTGCAGCGGAGTCCCTGAGACTTTGCAAGGAAGTTGAGAATCCTGCAAATGTTGGGAGACTTTGGACAGATTATTTTATGAATGCTGTTCACCAACCGCTCTCCACCCAGTGAGGTATCATCTTCACTGAGAGTTTGCAGAAAACTAATGTGATGGTGAGGCTTCCAGGACCTCGTACTGCTCCAGGCAGCTCAGATAGTGACTGATGACGAGTCATGATACAGCAGTTTGGTTCTTCAGTCCTCTACTTTTCATGAAAATGACTAACAAAATCTGCTGGTTCTTCTGTCTCGTCTGTCCTTCATCCTCTCTTAAATCTACCTAAAGTTACAGTCAGGAACATCCCGAGAGATCCTTGTGTTGGTTCTCTTAGGAGATCCTGATGCATGCTCAATAATCCAGGTAGAAAAATCTAAAAAGTTAAGTCTGGTCCTCTGGACATTCAAAATACAAAACAAACAAAAAAAATATAGAAACGTTTCGTCTCGACTTCTTCAGTCTGAGGTGCTGTATTCAGCTCAGTCTAATATCATATATCTCTTAGGATGTTTAATGGAAACCAACACGTTTGTTCTCAAGTCAATTCAGTTCCGTTTTAGGTAGGATTAAATGGCCTGGAGCTTGCTGTCAGGGGACAGGTTGGTCCAGAGTCATGGGATATGTTGGTTTGCTGGCTTAGCTTGATTGGCTCTCCTAGCACAAGCTAACTCCTTCTTAGGTTATATTACCATCAACCTTTGTAAAGCTGTAAAACCTGACCAATAAAAGAAGTAAATTGGAAAAGTTTCAGTAATGTTTCAAAGTCCAGCTTCCAACTAAAACAAAGCAGGTAATCTTCTTCAGTTAAAGTCACCTGTTAGAGTTCTGCTAACCATGTTTCTGCAGAGCGTGAGCGGTCTTCCCTTTGTACACTTGCAGGTGATGGCGGTGTCTCTAACGGTGGTCTGATCCACCGAGTCGGATCGTTCACCAAGATGGCCAACGGGCCCGAACACAGCGAGCATCTTTGTCGCGGAGACAGTCTGAGGTCATCTGTCAGTAATAACCACCGCCAGTCCTCTGTGAAGAACTGTCTGTTGGACCCTGTCAACAGGAGACCGTTGTACAGGCATGGAAGGTGAGTGGATGCACAAAAAGCGCAAGACTTGTGTCTCCTTGCTGAACTTCCTGTAAAGTCTAGGAGAAGGTGCTGGTTCAAACTGTAACAAACAGAAACTTGAGAGTTCTTCTGGAAATATTGTCAGGGTAGTTTATTTGCCTGAGTGTCCTGTTTGTCAACAGGAGGGACTCGAAGAAGAGATCCTGGAGGAACGGGGACATGGGGACATATGGAGAGCAGGGTAACTACAGCAGAGAGGAGGACAATGAGAGCATCCCCTCCAGAGACAGGTATGATGGAACCAGGAGACACCGGATCTTGGACTGAACATGACCTAACATGTTCAGCTAACTCACATTGGTCTGTTCCTCTCCCATCTTGAGTAGTCCACATGCTACAGTCGTCTTCAGTAGTCCACATGCCAGAGTCGTCTTAAGTAGTCCACATGCTACAGTCGTCTTCAGTAGTCCACATGCTACAGTCGTCTTCAGTGGTCCACATGCTAAAGTCGTCTTCAGTGGTCCACATGCTACAGTCGTCTTCAGTGATCCACTTGCTACAGTCGTCTTCAGTGGTCCACATGCTACAGTCGTCTT